TGTAAGTGGGTGCCGCCCTTTTAAGGTTGTGGCCCGTGGTCATGGGGAGATTGGGGTACGTGAGTCAAATCAAATCTCATCCCGGTTCGAAGGGACAGTCCCAGCTAAGATATCCGCCCTCTTTATTTCTCCATGAAATTGGGTAGACGCCTTTGGTACCAGCGTTTTGTTCGTAACTCTCATGTTAAAATAGAGGGCCCACAAAAAAACATTGTGGTTTCCTTGTGGTTTCCAATTACAAGCCAACCTTGAAAGAGCTACCCTCAAAAAACAAACCATGGTTGGGTTCCGACTATCTCCACTTGGAATGTCATGCAGCTCATGTAAAACTTGCACGTTTTTCAGGGCAGGATGTTTCGACAGCACTCGACCTGCTTTTGGGGTGTCAAATGCGTAAAAGCTTCCTTCTTTCGTTTGAAAAGCATCACAGCATCACTCCTTAAAGTGCAGATTGCCTTTTTTTTGTTCGGTGAATGCTTTTGCTCGGCATGATTTACCTTGCTGACAACCAACTGAAGGGACTTGTTGACTCAGCGGGTCGGGGACGAGCTATGACGCATATTGTAGAGGTTAAGGCCCACTGTATTTTCCTCCTTCCCTCACGGCTGGTGAGAAAACACGGCTTTTTGGTGTGCGTTCTGACATGGCAATGTTCCAGTTCAGGCTGAGAAATCATGTTGTGGGCAGAGGGCGGGAACTGTGCGTCTACACTGTCAGATTCCAAAAGGGGCCTTTGAAAGGTGGAGATGTTTCTGAAACCGTCGCCACTTGGGGCCATGTCACCCTCCTTCTTTGAGGGAGCGGCCTGGTTGTTTGATTTGGATACATAGCAAGCTCACCATGCAAAATGGGGTCAACCACCACTTTTATGGGATTGATGATAGGTTGTTTGAGCCGGGGTGGTGGGAATTTGGGGTTTGTGAAAAAAGCAAGTCGTTCCCTAACGGGATAAATACGTCATGGAATATATCTACCAATGGCATCTCAGTGGTAATTTATAAATTTCTATTCTGAAATGCTTCCTTCAAACATGGACGTGCGCAGACGCCAGGAGCGTAGTTGGTTGTTGCTGCAAGTTGGTGAACCCCTTCAACTTCCTTTCCATCAACCCACAGAGCGCTCTTTTCCCTGTAAGTCAAGGACCCCCACCCACCCGAGCTTAGATAAATCTCTAAACCAGCTGACTTACAGAGAATCCTTTGCATGAGTTTGTGGTTTGCATCCGGCCGCTGCATTCTTGAGACCCTGCCAGGGCTCCACAAGCATCTTTGTCCGACGCTTTGACCCAGATGGTTTGGTGGCCGCGAAGTGCGCCAAGAATGAGGACCGCACCGGGTATGCTTTTTCTCCGGAGTCCAACATGAGCGGCCGGGACTTAAGGGAAAACATGGAGAATATCCTGGCAACCCTGATGTAAATTGCGGGTTCGGCATCAAACAACATGAGCTTTCCCAAGGCGTTCCTGGGGTGCGCCCTCGGCCAGCATTCCCCTTTTCCAAGGTTGGCAGTTGCAACACTCAGTGACCCCTGTCCAAATCCGAGCTGTTGAGGCTTTTTTTGGGGGAGCCTAACGACCTCTCATTGTATAGGGCAGACAGGGATGGAGTTGTCATGACTTTCTCCTTCTTGGGAAGTCACTGATACGTTTGTGGGGAGGTGGGGGAGGTGATGTTCACTTCTGGAGCCTCATCTCTGCACGTTAAGTTTTGTGTTAGCTTTGTTCATTGCGTTCTGAAAACAGTATTCAGTGGGCTGCCAACTGTTAAGAATTACAACGCATGTTGTTGCTTCCAGTTTTGGAAAGTGTCCGCGGTGGCCGACCTTAGCGATGTTGACCCATAGCTGGGGATTGCCTTGTGCTTCCAGGTTTGTTCCATTCGCCTGTCACTTGATCCTCGCTATCCAAAGGGAAACGCCGGGACGGGGAGCAACAGTTCCATTCAAATCCCAGTTCCTCTTCACTCTTTCCCAAGCAAGAGATGGGTTTGCAGTCATTTACATGCAATGGAACAGAATCCCCCAACGCCAATTCTGAGTATTGGGTGAGAAAAAGAATGGGGCGCCCCAACTCCAAAGCAAAGAAGTCTCTAGGATCTGCTTTGGCCAATCGAGAGGGCAAATAGCCCAAAACAAGCAACGAGCCCGGTGCAAACTCGGGCCGAGACTGGAGTGAGGACACAACACAAATATATATATATATATATATACATATATATCCATATAAATCCATTGACGCCTCCAGGTGTCAATGCGGTTTCCTTTTGGCCATTTCTGAGTTTGCCACTAATTGGTACCGCAAAGACTTCACTGCGCTGTGATGAGCTTCATGTCAACTCTCGACTTTGCACGAGCATGCTGAGTTCCAATCGGACGGCTTGAGACCCGCAATAAGGACCGAAGGAGACGTGTCAATCTTCCATCCGCAGCTTAATCAGTCCGCAGCGATTGATGTTCCAAGAGGAAATGTAGCGCCTCTTAGGAAGCCTTGTCCCTCAAAACTGGCCCCCCAGGCTCCATGGACCGCAGGTAGCAACCGAGAACACTCCGGGGCCTGCGTTTCAGACTTGCTAACGAGGCCCGGAAGCCGTAAAGGCAAACCTCAAGCTGTTTACATGCACAAACTTCCCTCATGGTCAACATCTAACTCATCCGTTACAACTCCCAGTCCTGGAAGAGGCACGTTGCCTGAGTGAGTTCCGCCGAGAATTCCGCGCCGAGTTCCGCCGAGTTCGGGGCGACTCTTTCTCGGCGAGGCCTTCCTGCGGGTCCACGACCGCATCATCGAGATCAACGGCCAGGCCTCGGACTGCGCGGACATGGCCCGGAAGTTCGCGGAGCAGGTGATCCACCTGAAGCTCTACAGATACCCATCCTGTGAGCCGGTTACTTCAACTCCCTGAGGTGAAGACGGTCCATACCGTTTTTTGTGGACCTAACCTTTGAGCAGATTGGGGGTTTAGAAGCCAAGCCACCCAGGAAGTGAGCCCTCACTAATTATGGCCTGTCCACTTCCTGTAGGGGGTGTGACACTCCAAATTGGGGGCCTTTGTGTCTGTGGTCTTCTGAAAGGAAGCCACCCATCTATCGGCGTCCCGGAGCACCCGAGCGAGGTTCCAAAACGCGAGCTTTTGACCCTGTGAGCGTGCCGCGGATACTCTGAAACTCATTTGAAGGTGCCCCAAAACTTGTTCCAAGCGTAAGGCATGGTGGATACATTTCGGCCAGATAGAGAGCTGATTTACAGACGTGTGAAGCAGGTGGGTTTTGCGTGTTTCAGGAACCCTGAAGGCATCCAGGCTCACAGTTTCAGGGTCAAAGGTTCGCAACTCTTCCAAACCTATGCCGTTTGCCGCGCAAGCCTTGACTTTCGTCTGACGGCTCTTTATAGTCGCGCGAAGCCTGGCTGGAGTTTGCAGGATTCAGCTCGAAAGTGGTGAGCTGGTGAGCTTCCCTTGAGAAATGGCTCGGGGCAAGTCCTTTTGGGCCCATTGCCAACGTTGTTTGTTTCTTGGGGTCGGGCCATTTGTGATCAGAAAAAAGCAGAATCCTGCGACTAGGCAGTGCAAGCTTGCACTACCGAACGCATTGGACGGAGACTCGCGTGGAGGGGTGAAAAGAGAGAGGTGATGGGATGTTTGCAGTTCTACTATTCTACTTCTATCCGCCCGGGGGGGTGGGCAGTCATCCTCGAATGAAACAAACATGAGTACATGAGTAATGAGGGAGTTCCTCCAAATCGTGACCCTCTTGTGGCTGTAAAGGGAAACAACCGACTACCCACCATTTGAGGGCGCCGATTCGATTTCTATTTTGAGAAACAACCTCAATGGGAGGTCTTGAAGACTGCTTGCCCTTTTAGCTGAGCTGAACTCTCCAGTTTCAGTTTGGGTCTGGCTATCTTGACTGGCCTTTCCGGGTGTTGCTGCAAACAGTATGTTAGGCCTTTTCAGGTCAAATTACCCAAGCCGTCCCAAGGACGTATTCTTATTTATGGAGTGCAGCAGGGCGTGATTCCCGTCCCTGTCCGGGCTGGATGCTTTGCCGTTTGTTTGGACTTGCTATTTCGATGTTCCTGGTTTGTTTGGGCTGAACTGGTGTTCCACCTTCTGCCATAACATTGCCCGGACGCATGCTCTAGAAACCTCAGAGAGACCCCTTCAAATTGGGTTGCTTTCCACAGGTGCATAAATCACACAAGAATCAGGTTGATTGCATGGCCAGGATCTTCAGGAAAGTCTGTGGGAGAAATGTAAGATTGCGTCAGGAGTCTAGTTCCCTCAGATGAGGCCAAAGGGACAGCAAGTATTTGGCACCCAGGAGGCTTGCCCACAATCTGGGAAGAGTTGGGAAGAACGTAGGAAAAGGTTGGGCAATTGGAGAAGGTTTGGAAACAGTTAAGGACCTGTTTTCCTTTATTTGTGGCATTTGATGGGGGGCAAAGTGGGGCTGGCGGTTTTCTGTGGCAAGCTGGTAACGGGGGACTGGCTGGAGAGGCTGCTGGATGTGTTTCGCTGTTCTTCGCCTTTGGCGTTTGCAGGGATCAGCATCTAGCTTTTCATGGCTTTAGCCATATGTGGTGATCAAGGGTTTCCTTGGTTTTGTCCAGCTGCTTCTTGTCTTTAGCAACTGCATGACACGTTTTTCCGTGTGCTTAGATTGCCATTTTGATGCTCCTGCTTCAAAAGTGTCCGGGGGGAAAATTACCTAAGAGGACTTCTGCAGAGCTGCTGCAGATGGTGGCTTTGTGTTGGACGCCTTGGCCTTTCTTTGCCTTCCGGTCTTTTCGCCGGGAATTCCAGCATTCTCCGTTCGTTTGACCAGTTTCACCGTTCTGGCTGAGCAAATCACATTGGCCTTACAACAGGGGATTGTCCTTACACAGGGGGGTATGAGACCTCACCAATGACGAAGCTTTGCTTCATGGGGGTTCCACGAGTCATTTCCCCAGATCTCAGGGTGCCGATTCGCCTCCGTGACGCCTCCCTTATCCGCCCGCCCAGTTGGAAGCAGTGCCCCTCGGAGGGCATCTTCTCTGGGCGCTACACTTGCGCCCCCGAGAACCGGGACGTGAACTTCCGGCGGCGCCTGGCCGAGACGTGCCCTGAGATTTTAAACAAAACATGCGGAGGATGCCACCTCTCCTGGGGTCTTCTCGGAAAATGTCTGTCGCGCTTCATGGAACAGAATCTGACCGAAATGCAAATTCACCGGCGGCCGTTAAATGCAACATGGTGCTCATGCTAGCGCTGGCAAATCGGGAGAAACGTTGTCCAGATGCTGCCGCGGAAGTTGTGCCCACCTCCTCTTGGCCTGCATCAGCCCCAGACAGAAAGTAGGCCCGTAAGAAGCGGTGCAGAGAACAGTCCTCAACCTTGAAGCAGCCGGGTCCGAAGCCCGAATCAACCGCAAAACCTCCTGAAGCAGACTGCACACCCAGCTTGCTGACCAAACCCTCAAGCCGATGCTAACCAAGTCCATCGATTCGCTGGTCAACCAGCAGGTATGGCTATTACGACTCAAAGATCATGGCTGGCGTCACAGAGCAGGCGGCTGCTGTTGCAAAATTCCGGGGGCCTTGTCGAGCATGCACACGGGCATTGCAGAGTTGGCTGATGCATCTCCAGCAGTATGAGGGGCTTATAAGTACTACCATTTGGCTCATATCCTCTTGACTCCGCTTGGCTCTACACTACATGGCCCCATTCCAAGCGGTTTGGCCCTCAGTACTACAGCCTGAGGATGCTTGAAAACAAGGGTTTTTATTTTTGTTTGCTTCTTACGCCTGAGTCTGAGCAGTGCGGATCAGATTTGTGGGGCACCCCAAGAGATTGACATGGTGTTATGTGAGGGCGTGAAGGGCTCGACTGTTTGAACTCCTTGCCTTGCCTTTCCCAAAGCAGGCATTTGCGTGTCCAGTCATGGGGGCTAGTTTGAGCCACGGCAACTCCGGAGGTATCCAAAGCAGTTTACATTTTATCTCAGGTCCGTTTTTGATCCTGGTTGGCGGAAGAAACAGGCTCACTCCTTCAGTCAGAAGTTGGTCCTTTGGCCAGGACATCAAATGGTGGACAGGCCTCACTGAGCCGCCCCCAGCCGCAACCTTAGCAACTCTCAGTCCGGATTTGTGAATGCCGAGGGGCTCCCTTACCGGTTTCACCCGGGCGAAAAGGGACACCAAAAGGCAGGACCCCTGTGTCTGACACAACTCCAGGTAGCCAACGGTGTTCGTAGAGTCCAATGGGGTTATATGGGGTTTCACCCAACTCAAAATTTTGGGTCCTCTCCAGGTAGTCATGAGACCCACGGTGGTTGATTTCTCCAGAAGGGAATCCCTGGATTCAAGTCAGGGCAATCAAAGTCGAATCCTGCCTGTGTTCAACAGTAGGGTCCACCTTTCCAATTCGCGTTTGGGACCAGAGCTGGAAATCGTGGATGGCAACCATCGTTTGCGATTCCAAGGGGCACCGGTCTTAAGTTGTCAATTGTATAGCTCTGTGAAGGGCTCCCCTTAGTATGAGATCAGACGGTATGTTTTTTGGGGCCCTTCGCTTTCACTGATGACGGATGATAGCCAGGCAAGTTCACTATGCGCAGAGAGCACATGTAGATATCACAGTGGAACAGGATCTCCCCGGTTCCGTGATATTGCAGTAAGGCCTGCTTGATCGGATTGCCAGTTGTTTTGCTTGTTGGTCTTGTTGGTGCCACCGGGAACCTTGTGAACATGTTCAGGGGTGTCATGGTTTCTTTCCGGGTTCCTTTTAATCAGTGGCCATTCAGAGGGTAATGTTTAAAGGGATATCACTGGAAGGAACCTGTACCACCAGCAAAGCCAGAGAAGCTTCGGGAGGCCTGCTATCTGCCTGGCTCGCAGGTTTGGTGCAGCCTCGTAAAACATGGTGCTTGGGTTACTCCTGAGGGGGGGGAAGGACATATGATCAGGGCTTGTTGAGCCTTTTCAGCGTTTTCATCGGGCACCAGTACGCTTGTTTGGCTCCAGGAGGGCTTGGGATCCGGGCAAGGATTTTGGACCTCTTGAGCCCAGGGTGGCCCAACCCTGGGGCTGGCAGGGGAGTAGGTCTCAAAGTTATAACTTGGGATGGCTGGTTGCCTCATGGGCAAGCAAGATTATATAAGTGCAATTCGACGTTCCGACATTCGGAGCAAGAGAGAGAATGAGAGAGAGAGAGAGAGCCCTTTGAAGACCCGAACGTGCGCCTGTTCAGGATGTCCTTGATTTGCTTGAGTTCATGATCAGCCGCTTCCAGAACTGTGACGAGGCCTTGGGCGGGTTTTGTGAATGCCCTTTGTTTCCACTGTTTCGGCACGCACGTGCTTTGTGTGATTACTCGGTGAAGCGACACAGCTGCATAAATGACAGCATACACATACATTCAATATCTATAGACGTATCTGTACATATATATATATATGTATACAAACTAAATGGATATATATATATATATGTCTTATACACATATGTGTGAGTAACGTGTTGCTCGGGTGGCTAAAGCTTGGACTGTTTTTCTAAGAGGACCAACCTCATTCCTGAGTGTGTAGGCGTATTAGCAGTTATTTTGGCAACATGTGGTGCACATATTTTGCTTATTTAGAGTGGCAGTGCGCATATGCATATAAAATATGCCAAATATACGCATCGATATACATGTGTATATACATGTGTATATGCATATGTATACGTATGTGCATATATATATATACAGATATAGACATAAATATTTTAGTTGTCACATTGTTTTGTTTTATTTTTATGAGGAACATGCACCCCAAGAGCACATGGTTGAGCCGTCATGTTGAAATCAAAGTGATGGATTCCAAGCCGAGTTCCGTTTGCATTCGGTGGCCTGAACTGCAGGCCTTTTTTGCGCTTGGACCCGCTTTTGCCAAGTTGAACTAGGCAAAAGGCCGGAGCAAACACAGAACTGATTTTCTCGGAGTCCAAATCACTGATAGCGGATCCAAAAATATGGATCTTTGGCCATACGTAATTGCATTGCTCCTGCAGGGCGCCATCAAATGCCGCTTACTTCATGTGTTCTCCAGAGTCTCCCATCCAAACACCCACTGAAAAAGAGCCTAGACGTTTTCAAGCGGACAGCCCCAGGTTTGTTTCAGCCAAACCTGTTTGTTGAACAGAATTCCATGAAGGATACATGTTTGCCAGTTCAAACATGACGCTTAATGGCTGACTTAGGACACCCCCTGTAAAGCAGGTGGTTTTTGGACGTATCCCTCAAGGAACCCTGTTAACCTCCATTTTATCTTTTGGCCCTATGAGCAGCTGGTCGGGGGTCAAACAAAAGTGGGCTCCCGCCCTGACAGGCGTTCTGGAAGATCGTCGGCCTTTCTGACGTCAAGACCCAGCTGATCACACTTCGCAGCTCGGTGCAACATCTGTCGGGCTAGCTTCCAACGGAGACGGCAAAAGGCTGTTGTTGACCCTTGATGAAGTCATGGACCCCGAAAGGTGGACTGTGTGCATATAGGGGGCTATAACCCTTTAATTCCTATGTGATTAAGGCCTCGGCTTACCCGATAGCCCCCTTCACCCCTTCGGAAGTTCATGAGCAAGGCTTGGTCACTGATCAGAGCCTTGGGTTCCCTGGATGGAATGAACCGCCAAACACAGATCCTCTGTCAGGGCCGGGGTGGTCACAAGAGGGAAACGGCAGTACAGTAAATAGTCAGCAGCAGCAGGCCGGCGCAGGGCTTTGTTCGCAAGTTGCACGGCAGCAACGAAGCAGTTGTGCACACCATGACCATGGTGCCCATGGTGCAAGCAGATGGTGCAATTCTCTTCATGTACGTAAGAGAATTAAAGGGGATGAGTAAAGCAATGCGGAGTAAATATACCACCTATTGTCACCCAACTGCAATAGCAGGGGAGATCATAGTTCATTGGTAAAGCTGCACCGCGCCTCGAACGTGCCGATCGTGCTGGGCATTCCGATGCAGAGCGTTGGAGCCCTGTGGTTTACTTTCTGGAATGCTGCATGGCCTATGATTATGCCATGTGCAGTGTGCCAAGCGGAGAACCAACTCCTGATGTCGAAGTGATGCGTCCTGCTTCTGATTGAGTTGGGATTCATGCCACTGTTTGCAAGTGCTCCGTGATTGCCTGCATATTGGGCAGTTGTGGTTTGCCCTTGCCAGCAGTTGGAGGGCCCAACTGTGTTTTTGTCTTTGCGCAGGCCCTCACAGAAACCGCTGTGTGCCTTCAAAGGGCCGCGAAGAGGCGCTTGCTTCCCTGAGGCAACTTCTCGGCGGCCTTGAAGGCGATGGAGTGCGGCAAGTTCAAAGGCGGGGGGTGGGATGGCCACGGCCGTGAATCATTGCTGGCGGCTCCCAGCTATGCAGCTTTTAGCAGGGGGTCTCAAAAGTTAAGCTTTAGTAGGGGATCTGAAGACAGCCGAATGAAGAATAGTGATGGATTGATTAAGATGGCTCTGGTTGGCACAACCCTGCCTTACCCCTTGTATTCGCTCAGCGGCAAAATGTATGGGGATTCTGTGCTTTGGACCCAGCAATCTTGGAATTGCGCGTATGTGCACATTTTTTTGCGCTGACTAATTACAAGTGTTATGGCTCGCAAGGTATGCATGGTAAGCAAATCCAGGAATCCAGCAGAGGAAGGTCGCATGTGGGTCTGGAGCCAAGCCGAGTTGTTTATCCAGTTAAAAGGTTGTGCTGAGGTTTTGGTACTCCACTCAGCCTTGTCCCTTTTGGGTCCTACTTTTGTAGAATTTGAATTCCCCAGAAGTGCTGACACTTTGCAGTGGTTTTCAATTGGTAACATTGCAAGAAAAGCCTAGAGCCAATTTTTCAGATAAAGACCCCGGCGCTTTAGCCAGGCTTTAGGGGCTTGCCATGGGACCTACCTTGATGGGATCATTCCAATGCCACCTTGGGAAGGATCGGCTCGTGCCGCGCGGGGCTCGCGTTTTGCAGGCGCGGACGAGACCCAGCGCCTGCAGGCGATTTTCCGGTACCTGGACCCCGGGGGCTCGGGGCCCAAGGGTCGGTGAGAAGCGGCCCTCGGCACGACCTGTTCGTCAGCATTTTCCAGACCCAGACAATCCATGTAGGAAATATGCACATATATACACCAACATTGGAAGGTAAATACTGTGGGAATAGAATACCTGCATGGATTATTTGGGATAGGTGGTTGAACTCTGACAAGCCCTTGTTCTGCGCATGGCCATTGGCACAACATGGGGTCGCGCACACGTTACTTTCTCAGAGGCGACCTTGGCCATCACGACACAATGTCTAAGTAGTGAGTTCGGTGAAGTAAGACGACGCCCAGCTGGGGAAGCATACAAATTGAGTTGCCAGCTAGTGAGGGAGAGGCGGGATCCTTGTTAAAGACAAGGGGGCATGAGTTGATGCTAAGCCGCCGTCTCTGGAACTGTGACAAGTCAATATGCAAGAGGACAACCTACAAGGGATTTCCTTTTGACCCCAAGTAAAATGATACAATGAGCAGACACCCTCGATTTGCAAATGAGTGAACAAGTAACTGGGCGCTGACCTCGCGTGCTCGGCACGCAAGTCGGTCGCACAATTTCTTCCGAGGGGAAGGTAGCATCTCCTTCAATGAGTGGCGTGTGCTGGGGCAGCTGTGGAATGAGTTTGCCCGTGCCTCAGCTCTGCGAACGTCATTTATAATTCGCGTGACCACATCCGGCAGATGGGTTCCTTCCAACCGATCATTCCTAGCGGACAAATCCGGAGGACCATACAAAATACCCACCAGTGACAGGGGCTAGCCATCACGGTTTGCATGCTTCAATGGAGAAATGTGGATCTCACACACCAGTATCGCACTGGCTGGGCTATTTGAGAGGCTGCCCAGGCAAGGGCAATGCTCAAGCTCTCGCGTTCGGCACATGAGATTCGCACGGCAACCGATCTGTTCGCCTCTGGCTTTTTCCCAGCATTCCGCCTGCAACACTGTCTTTCCACCTTACCGTCTTCTGGTGTCAGGATTTGACCATCCGCGAGTTCGTCCAATTCCTGCAAATCGCGTTCGGCGAGGCAGCCATGCCTTTTTAGAGAGGGGTGAGAGGAGAGCAGCAAATGAATGAAAGGGATAGGACTGGCGCGAAAGAGGTAATCTTACATTTTGAACGTTTTCGGACTACATGATACTTTCTAGAATCAAATTCCAAACTTTGCAGTGAGGCCACTTTCGCAATGAGAGGAAATAGCTAGATCAGAAAGACGGATTGAATAGAATAGAAGTGTGTAGAACACAGAACTAGAAGGTCCGAGAATGTCCTTCTTTCTTGTTTGGTTTGGTGCGTGGTGGTGATTGGGCTTGTGACGGGCAAAGGAGCCGACACTAGGCATTCCAAGCACCAAGCTGGTCTGGCTACGGCTCAGAAAACCTCACCAAGTACGAACTTGCAAATATCTTTGCGTTGGTTTTGAAGGGAAGCAACCAGAATCCGCAAATTCTGTGCTGCCCCTACTTGAGACAACGCCATTTGTCAGGTATTCGCACCGGTTGAGACACTTATATTGCGTTCATTGAGTGGGTCAGCTTGGACACCATCAGAATCAGGAGGTCACGAAAGCATTATTACGCGTTGCAGTCCTACGATGTGCATGGTGCTTTGAACAAAACATTATGCAAGTAGCGTTCAGCCAAACAGTGTTTGGCCTTGGGTTTGTGTTTAGTTTTGATGATACTCCCTCTGTTTTCATGGCAAAGGTCGCCCCTGCAATGTATCCAGGACCTGCAAGATGCGTGGAGTGCCTTGGACGACGACGGTAGCGGCGAGCTTTCAGAGCAGGAGTGGGATGAAGCCGCCGGGGGCGCCCAGATGTTTGTTTCTTCCTGCTTCAATCGTTGTCGTTGTCGTCTTTGCCTTTGGCTTTCTTGAAGATAATTGGTCAAAGAGGGTAGCTTCGAATGTGAGAGTCATAGACCTGCCATGACGTGCTCTGTGGCTTTGGTTTGGTGGAAATCGTTGGATTCCACGGTGAAGTTTGAGCGGTACCCTTCGCCAGTGGATCCCAACTTGTTCTCGTCAGGCTCAGAATGTGTCTATTTGCTTAAGTGTTTTTGTTGCAGTTGTTTGAATTTGCCTGTGGTGGCACCATTAGAAAAAGGAGGAAGACTGCCCCGAGAACTGTGGACCGTCCCACAAACAATGGAGCACAGGTCTTGAGATGTGTTTATTCTCTTGAACATCAATTTTGGGATTCCAGTTGCTGAGCTGTTGATCCTTTTGGTTTTGATGTGATAGGTCTTGGTCAAGATTCCAGAAAGTTAGGCTTGTATTTTCAGGTATTGTTCCTGCCTGAGAACAGCTGGAATCAACTAGGGGCAATATGCAACTGGAATCAACCACATCCAAACAGCTTCCTAGATTGGAGGTTCACTTTTTGCAGGTGGAATTGTAGGGGGCATCTCTGATTTGTTTCCGGATTCATACGCGAGCGCATCCCGACGTTACCGCCCTTCAGGGAGGCTTGCAGTTTGCATTTGATTGGCCTCGGCCATTTTCCTGGCACAAGGCTTAAAGTCCTTTTCCCATTCCCCTCCCACAAACAACCATGGAATGCAAAAGGGCCTTTCAAGACAGTTTTCCTTGTCTTTTTTTGGGAGGGTGCGCGCTGGGATTAAGCACGAAAGTGCCCCTACATGATCAAACACAACCAGGTGTTGTGTGGAGATAGTCTGGACTGTGGCAATCTCCAGCGGACGTGGCCCTGTAGCACCAGGACGTGATAGCAAAACCCTTAGACACGTGCCAGGCAATGCAGATGCTAAGCTCCTGTTCTGCGCTGTTTGTTTGGGCATCCTACTCAAAACCAATGGAAGCACCACCGGATGGCTATGTTCCAGTTTGGCGTGGCCCTCCCATGGCCCTCAGGTGGCGAAGATTGGCTACTTCGGGCCGTCCAGGCAGGGCTTGCGACTGAGCCTCCGCCCAGGTTGCCAAAGGCGCCCTCCCCTCCATCCTGGAACGAACTCGCAAAACGTACAGTCTTCCAAAGGAAGCCAGGCGCCAAATTTGACCTTGAGGGAAATGCTTTGTAGCTTTCAGCTCATCTTAGTGAAGCTTTCTTTGGACAGAACAGCACGCGTCCACAGATGCCTACATGATTGGCAAGCACTACGAAATAAGCCAAGGTTGCCAGTTGATCTAGCCTTCCATTTGCTGCCAGTTTGATTTTCGAAGTTTGGAGTTGCTCCTGCGTTGCAAGTGGGAAATTGGGGTAGAAATCGAAGACGCCACTATGGTGCCAAAGCTTTGACCGCCGCATTTCCACCTGCCTCCATGTTCCGGGCTGAATCCTGCCACTTACGCCGAGGAACCACAACTGGGAGGTTGACTTCCATTTGCTTAAGAATACCTTCCAATTTTTTGTTTTTGGTTTTCAAGGGAATCGATCACTACTGGACATATTTTCTCTTTTTTTCCAGCTGGGACTCAAGCAAATGGAGGTTCATATTTGTCCTCAAGCATCAGGACTCCAAACATCGGCCATAACTAGGAAGCTGGAACGAAGCCAAAACGATTAAGCTCTGTGTGTGCTGGTTGAACGCTCGTATTTGCTCGTAATCATTCTCATGCATCCCCTTTCAAATGAGCATGGAACCCAACAGGGGGCCCCCAAAAAGGGATTCAACCGATAGTTTTTGTCGCAGGTCCAGTTAGAAATGCAGCGCATTGTTTCCCCTTGCAGGGTGATCTTTGCACTGCTCGATGGCTCTGACGACGGGGACATCTCGGTCACTGAGCCGCACGCTCAGCTGGGAAAGCTGCTCCTGAATATTCTGCCATTGTATGGCTCGCTCTGGGCATTTAAGTCGAAATGTCAGGTTTTTGGATTATCGTAGAATTGGTTAGTTTTGCTATATTTGCTAGTGTCAGATTACCCTTAGTTGGTGGTTTTGGATTTGTGGTTTGCGGATTTGAAGCCGGCCAAATGATCAGGTACCCTCCCCACGCTGCCATGGAACTGGGTTGGTTAGTTGCAGGGCTTTGGAATTGCATAGGCCAAGCCTCTCGATATAAAACTAGTGTCTCGTTGTGGCTGCGCAAGAATGCGGAAGGCGCACGCAACGTCAGCAACTACCAACGTGAATTGGCTTTCTGGTGCGGTGCAATTTGGCAATTTGGCTGGTCGCTCCCGTGCTGAAGGGGCACTTCCCGCGCCAATAATGCCTTTCTGGCCACGAAAGTCTTTTGAGCGGTGGTACTTTGGCGCCGGCAACGTTTTTGTGAGGCCGAAATTCGCTTGTTAGCTTTAGGTTTGTCTGCTACTTTCTCTTGCTGAAAGGACGCTTCAATGGCTTGCCGGCTTACTGCTTCCCATGGGAGGACGGCTTCATGCAAAACAAATCTGGCCACGAGAATCGTTGTTTGGGCGACGCTTTCCTGAAGACTACTAGCACGGAAATGTGTTTCTTGTACTGAAGCTTGATTTTGCTTAATTACCCTTTTGCAGTTGAGGGACAGGAAAGGTCGCGCATGATCGCGCCGCATGACCGGCGGGATAGTTTGAATTTTGATCAGCCCCAGTTGATGGCTGACGAATATGACTCCTGCATGACCATGTTGTAATGAATTTTGTACCCCGCAACCCCGTTCCCAGCCAAGGCCCTCGATTTGTTGGTGATGCTGGGGATGTTGGCTGGACATGCGGGGAATGTTGAAAGCGATGCTGATGATGTTGACGGACTAGCGCAAAATGCGTACATTTCCCCAAAAAAAAACAATTAAATCTCGACCCAATTTTAACCCAAGCACGTGCTCAAGCTGCAGGGCTGGCTTGGTTTGTCATTCTTTTCTTTGGTGAACGCACGTTGCAGGGGCTTTACTGAGCTCGTCCAAAACGACAGGGTTTGCCCTGACAGGGACTTGTGCTTCAAACAACTGAGGGATGCCGTCAACGAGGGTCTCACTTCCAGATTTACTGGACTGAAACAATTATGAGTTTGGGCTGTGTTGTGGCCAATCCGCTCAGGAAGTGAGGGGTATCCACAGTAAAAACGCCCCCCTTTTACTTTTTTCTCTTCGGTTCCGGTCCGTTCAGGCGCTTTCGGCCAGTGGCTAGATTTGGCCTATTGTGCTTAGGTTTGAGGTCCTCGAGAAGTACAAGCCCCCGCCCAAAGAGGAGCCTTGAGTTGCCCAAAGACTGGCAACGGATCGCTCATGGGGGGGAGAAGCGCAAAGCGATTCCCGGCCCAGTGAGGGAGGGAATCCTGAATTGAGGTTGGGATTCTAGTTGATAGTGCAGATGTGTCTCTCAAAATTGAGGGTAGTCCAACCCTCTGGCTGGTGTGTTCTTTTGGCCTCGCTGGAACACCACCAACAACAGGTACATGTGTATTTATTTGTTCCTTTTCACTTGCTGACATTCATTTTGTCCAAGCTGGTTTTAGATGAACGTGTCCGTTCCTGGCGGGCACGCAGCTCTCGTTTGGCCCGCTGACTTGCAGGCTTTTGGCCGAGTAAGCTGCGCGAAGCACAACATCCGCCTCCGGGTTAAGTATGACAAACCGCTGAATTGTCCTAAACGAATATATACGGGGGAGTGACATGATGGATCCGGGAAGAGATAGGTGATATGACATGGTGAAAAGGATCTTATTAATAATGCCATCTTTCTATTTCTGTTTCCCTATCATCTTTCTCTCTTATCACATTCTCTTTATCTTCATTCTCTTTTATTATTTATTGCCATTCTTCTTAGGATTACATGTGTTCAGAATTAATATGATGGCATTCCTCTACTCCTAGCTTCTGAGGTTTACATTATGAAGAAACCGAAAGAAGAGGCAAATAATAAATCTCTCTCACCCTCTCCCACATGTCACAGAGATTATTAGGTGGGAGAGGTAGAGGATGCGACCGCGTGCGGGAGGGAGAGTGAATGAGTGAGTGGACGAGTGGACCAGCCTTCATTGGCGGTCACATGGGAAAGAGAGAGATAACATGGTAAAGAGAATGTGTCTAACCACAGGCATATTTGTTGCTTTCATGATGTAGAACATGCTGTCCAGACACCCTATTGAATACCCAGCTGAAATCCTCGAGGTTGGTAAAGGGGAATTCCTGACAAGAATAAATTAGAGGCGGCTACGCTTGTAAGTAGGTGGTTTGAGCGCGTTTCTTCGCAACCGCTTTATGGCGATGACTCGGTGGTATTCTTCACTTTCCAGTTTGCTCAGATTCTTGATGGAACTTGGGGGACCAGGATATGTTTGTTCAGTTCCTTCGGGCACGAGGATCGCAGCGCCCTTGCATGTAGTTCTGCGCGCGAAGTGCGGCGACCTGTTTGACAGGCAACATCGGCTGATTTTGTGTTCGTCCGTAAAACACCCTCAAAGATAACTGGATGACAAACTGGGGGTTTGCTCCAAGATGATTTCTATATTTTGGGGTAGGCTAAAGATTAATACGCATGCACAATGTCCAAACAGGGAAGGCTCTTGACCAGCGTGCCGGGCTTCATTAAAAATATTGGGAGCTTTTTTTTTTTCCGATTGGGAAGGAATATCAAGCGCTAATTACAGGGGACTTACCAATTTCGCCATGGCCTCTGAGGGAATTATATATTTTGACCGTGGCATGTGTGGCTTGGAACTGGCCGTCGCTCATTTCGCGTATGCGGTGCATGAACACTGCCAACTCAGAGGGCGTGCCTCTCGCAGGCCTTTTCCCAGAGTCCGCTTTGTCGGCACTGCGAAATGCAGCAGCCAAGTTAGACACCACAGCTGAGCTGCCTTCAAAGAAGCCAGCATCGCAGTTCTGTGACCGGGCCACGCAAAGTTTGAGGGAGTTTACGTTTGCTAATTTGAGCATCACCCCCAAAAGGTACCACCGCAAAATGCAACCAGCTACATCGCCACCAATCGGTACTTGCGATTTGGTGCGAATCGCAGTGCGATGCGCAGTCTGGCTTAGGCAATGCTGCGGACAGAGTGCTTGTCACCCGAGAAGCGCAGTCTTATGGTTGATGCACTCCAATGGGAAATTCTTGGTTCTCTTTCCTCTGGCAGGCACTATCCCGGCTTTGTAGCTTGTCTGCGCAGCCAAAGAGTCCAAAAGACGAGGGGAGACGGCATTGGCGTGGCTGGATGCTGTGACACGGCTGTTGTTGACTGGCGGTTTGGGCATGGCTTCTCATCGTTGCGCTTTGTAACGCGGGTGTGATTGTCAATGGCCATGTGATGCTTTAAGGGTTCAGGCCCGCTTGAATGCAAAAGGATTAGTCGAATCATGCTCCTTAACGCTTGACAAAGTGAAAGTTGAAAACATCATGAGTCACAACTAAATGTCAAGGGTCGAGCCTGTCAGCCTGGGACTGGGTTGCTCTATGTGACATCGGGCAAGTTCAGAAAAAGGCAGAGACTGCAGTCTCCATGCGGGCTCAGTGAATCCAATAAGTTTAAGTAGTTTGATGAGGCAAAGGGGACTGCAAATCTTATGAACAATGTTTAAATGTGTTTGCAAAACCTTGCAGCTGGGATTGAGCGATCCGAGCTCCGTCTACCGCTGGCCGGGCCCAGCGAAAGATTCGAGTCGCCGAGTCGAGTCGCGCGCTCCCCCGCCCGGTGCCATGCCGTAGGCGAGCGATACGGTGAGAGCGGGGGATATGAGCAATCCGGGCCCCTTGTTGAACGGCTTTGTGTTTTCCCAAAGGATACAAATCCGGCTGCAAGGATTGATCATTTCACAGTTGCCATGCCATGTATGGGCGGAAACAATGTTACCGGTGGTGCTTACACTTACGTGGTGAGACTTTGCAGGATCTTGATTGAGGGAGGGAGGGAGGGAGGGAGAGAGAGAGAGAGAGGGAGGGAACAAAAGAGAAAGAGAGAGAGAGAGAGAAGTAGCTGGGCGAATAATAAATGGCCGAGAGCAGATTGGCTTGCCAGGTCGCCACGTCGACTCGCATGGCAACTTGGCCCAAGTCTACATGGCGAGTCAGAGATCTGAATGGATGCGGCGAGTGTCCTGTTTCTGACGGGGGCTAGAATGTGCGACCCAGTCTTTCACTTAGCCTGGAGCGGTTTTTTGGGGGGAGCCTGGGGCCCTGGATTGAAGCGCTTGAGCCACCAGTGAGCTGCAGGCAACAGACATACGCTACACCCCCCAACCCTAGCAGAAGGCCAACAGGCAAGGGAAAGCAAAATGTTTTCGAGAGGGGTGCCCCGTTCTTTACAGGCTTCTGGAAGTTGCGCCCTTACAGATTGATGCGGCACCCAAGAAACCAATTCACTGGATTGTTCAAAGGCAATCCTTGATCGTTGCTTTGGATTATGTCAGGGGGTTGGCAAACCCTCAGTTTTGAACAGCCAAGATTGACTCTAGGCATAGCAACCCCACAATGGTTTGCAATCCCGTGGAAGACACTTGGAGTTCCCTCATTTCTCGCTGGATTAGTCAGGGGACCGGTTCCGATCGCTTGAGGCCAATCAAGTGTGTACCAACCTGCCCTTTGTTATCCATTGAGAGTAAGTCAAGTTGTGAACGGTTACCTCGGACGAGTATCCCTTCCTTTTCCCCAGAGGGTCAGGCCTGGCACATGGAGGGGGTCCGCCAGATGGCAGCCAACCATTTCCCCATTGGTCATCGGTCAAGCTTCGGGACTTTCTCTGGAAAGCGCTTCTACGCTTGTAGGCGTTCCAGTCCGGTTTTCTGCAACGCATAAACATGGAACCTGCTCAGGGGTCCCCTGAAAAGGAACATGGTTTTCCAGGAACCCCTGTGCAGCGATTGCTTTTGGAAGGGTACACTTGCTCATTCTTATCTTAATTGTGCAACTTGTTGGTGTCCTTTTCGGAATTCCTGGGCCAGAAAAAAAAAATGCAGCTCATTCAACGTGGAGTCTGCTTACCGCCATGACCCACAGAAACCAAGGGTGACTAAGTATACCCATTTGACGCCACAAGGGGTGCCCTCAAACGTTTCCACAGCTCCCCGGCATGACTCGGAAATTGCCGCGATCATCGCAGCCGTCGGCCAAAAGAAAGACTCGTGATCCGGACGCGGCTTTCCGCACAACACTATGATGGCCAACTTTGGGCATTGCCGCTTTTGCACGGAGACTTGGCTGAGGTCGACATGTCGGGGTCAAGTTGCTCCTTCATGTGAGCCGAGGGGTAAAGCACAAACTATGAAACTCTTCTTATTTCAATATCAACACCGTTCAATATTAGCAGGTGTGATTACAAATGAATACCGTGAATACTGCTTAAGATAGAACTTTAGAATCCCCGAACACTACAACCATAGCAACTGCCTGCAATGTGACCGATTCTGAAAAAGAACTCAGATATTTGGGGAGATGCTTACGATGTTTACTGAGGCCCTTTGGTGGATATTGAGGTGGGGATGTATGTTCACCCATCAGTTTTGAACCATGTTGTCTTCTCGGCGGTTTTTCAACAGGGGATGTTCCCTTGATTCACTGAGCCAGCTCCCTTTCGTTTTAAGCGGGGTGGTTCCCTTCATCAACAACAGTCAAATCCCGGCCCGGAAAGCAGCTACATTGTACATGCCAGCCCCTTCGCCCAAGCTCAACTGAGGGGGTGCAGAATGGTCCAGGGTGAACATAGATGGCACAATTCCCTTTATGTTAGTAAAGGGGTTGGCTAAACCAAGCGGGGACATTCTGCCAGCTGTCTTCACGGAATTATACGGATTGACTGGGCAGAGCATTCCGCAAGTCAGGAGAACCCCTTCAATGTGCTCTTCGGCGCCTCGGCTTAGGAACCGCAGATGGGGCCCCAAGTTGTGAAAGAGGCACCCATGTTTCCTGCCGTAATCTGCCGTATGTGCCATCAAATGCCATCCATGAGGCGTCCTGCGAGAGCTTCCTTGAAAGTGTGGGTCTGGGCTCCTTGCTTTGAATTTCAAGCACAGTATTCACAGGCACCCTCAAGGCATGCTCTTTCTTTGCCAGGGGGCGGTCTCGCAACGCTATCGGGTAGAAGCCCGACATGTTGGTTGACGCGATGGGAAGCACAGACGTCTTTGTGCAGGGCCGGCATAATCGACCGGCTCTTTGCCAATCAGCCAAGCAGGTCATGCATGATCTGAGAATGGTTGACAAATTCGAGGTGCCTCCACGTATCTGGTGAAAGTGTATTTTGGGCAGCGCTAGCCAGTGGATGCAAGGAAACGCGCCCGGGAGCACAAATAAACTGGGTCCATGGTGGAAACCTACCCAGTGCTTCCAGTTACCTTTGTAGTAGCTGGCCAGATACTTTTGCCATCATGATTTGCCCTGCTTGTCTACCATGATGACTAGAAGCACGCGGGAAAAACATGCTTGAGGCAAGAAGCCCGAGGACAAGGACAGAACCCGGCCGGTGCCCAAGACAAAGGCATCTCGGAGGAACGAGAAGAATTTCAACAAAAGGAGCGAGGAGGAGGTGCAGGACGGAAAGATCCGCACACCCCCCTAGAATCCTGGAATTCTGTCTCTGGTTCCTTTTTCGGATGTGTGTGCATAGGGGTTGTAGATCTGGAGGGTCGAGTGTCCATTCGGCGCAGATTTGAGAGCCAGACCTCACAACGTGTTTTAGGGGTGGAGAGCAATCTTGGTCATGTGGGCTGCTTTAACCTTAAAGGATCAACTTTGAATGTCTCATGGAGGGGGGTTGCCAGGCCCCCGCAGGTTTTGCGCTCTTTTCGCACTCGAAGGACGTCTAAAACTTCGATGTACGGAGTACATGTTTAACTAAGGCTATATCATATCGACTTGTTGCGTAAGCAACTGCTCCACATGCGCAAGGCGGCGTAAGCAGATGTTGAGGCAACATCTGTTCGAGAACAGGCTATCTCCTTTGCAGCCGCCTGTGGTGAAGATGTCGCCTTAGCTCTTGGTAGTCACGTATCCCACAGAAGTCGACACAACCCTACAGACCTGAACGTGCACTTGAAAAGGAAAGACGGTTGCGTAAGCAGCCTCAAATGTTCAAGCGGAGTTCGAGGCGTCAGGGCCGCGTAAGGCCTACTTGAAGCCATGTGTCGCGTAAGCCGAAAGGTGGGTTGCAGAAGGTACGCGCAAGCAATGGTGGAAGGAGCACAACACGACATAGCGAACTCTGACATGCTTTGGGTGAGTTCTGCACCCAAAAACGCTCCCAGAGCCGCAAGCCCTCCCCCCCCCTTGCTTGTTCCGGGGCCAGCAAAATTGTGGATGCGCAACTGGACCGTGACCGTAGCCCAGGTTCATCCCATCGACCAACCAGTTTGGCCGATGGATTCCCCGAGGATACATGCACGCTGATTTCAAGGAACCCCATGTGGAGCTGGAACATTTGGACATGTATCCCTTTTTCGGCCGCTGTTCCCTCACCGTACCCCAGGTTCATTTGGATCACCTGCCCAGCTGGGATCCATAGACTCCCTTTGACTATGTTATGGCGAGCTCATTGCGTGGAGGGTAACACGTAGCACGAACCCAACGGTGTACTCCTCTACTTGGGGTCCTCATTTCTAGTTGTAGGCTTTGCAAGTGCTTTTCCACTACTCCCCAAACCAGGTATCTTTGTAGATAGTGGTCAACTAACGTTGGTATACCCATTTGTTTCCCGGATATATTGCAACATGTTTGCAGGCATCATGCGGACCCGCCATTTTGGAGCTTCCCTTTGGGCGCTGGTTTCCCATAAAGCCCAATCCATCATTCTGGACCCTCCAAAAAGCCCGACGAGAGATTCCCTTCCAGGAGATGATCAAGAGCTGGGACAAGTACGTCCACGACCGCGCCAGGGACTTCTTCGCCGGTACGGAGCAGCTTCACCAGGCGTGAAAACCCACGTGTGTGTGGCTTGTATATTTGCGAGGGCCGCTGCCTTTGTTAGGTTTATCTTAGACGCTTCCAAAAGGAAACCAGGTTGGCTTAAAGTCACAGAAGTACAGCTACAAGTTCGGGGCGAGGGAGGTCCCCCTATGCAATCGGCGCCCGCTCGTAGTAAATCCATCCAGAATCTACCGCTGTCTATGTTTGATCAGTGCCGAAGCGGGGGTGAAGGGATTGATTAAACAGATGCCCATGCAGATGATCTGCTGATTTTTCGGCCGAGCTTGTGAACATCACGGAGCCAAAGTTAGCCCAACAGGTGATGTTTCGAGCCACACTTTGAAGGAACACTAGGCAACCCTGTCACTGTGTAGTGGTTAAAGCGAGGTCACCAACCTAGTTCTTCACTTGGGATTCCAATCCTCTTATTTCTGGTGGAATCTTTGTGAAGCACATGCCCTCATGTTGGTTTGTTGCGTAGGGCGGGCTCGCACCGTCTTTCAGGCACACCATCAGAGTTCAATGAGGTTCTCCTTTGGGTTCCAGTGTTTCTGTGTTGGTTTGGGCCTTCTCCTCCCCAGGGAACACCCTGACCCAAGACCCAAGGAGGAGGACGGGAGGGTACCCTCGGATTCCCGATTCCCGGCGTTTCAGCTTCCAATTGTGGAATTCTACCCTCACCCCCCCCCCCCCCTTTGCGGCGACCGTTTCGGGGAAGAGGGGGCGTGTACGAGGGAAGATGTCGCCCTGATTAAATGATTCCTGACCTCCAAAAGTAAAGTTGACTGATTGCCCGTGAGGCCTCCAGTCCGGGGATTTAGACTCTTCGACAACATCAATATTCAATGATTTAAACCAGCTGTGATTCAGCGCCATCCGCAAGGTTCTGGGCCAATTGGCCCAAGGAACCGACAAGAACGCGGATCCTGTCATGGGCAACGCCGAGGAGTGTGTGCATCTGGGAATTGAGCTGTTCTGGATCAGAATGTTCATGAACTTGTGACCCCAGCGGCGGAGTTCCCCCACAAGAAACACACCCATGTGGCTGTTGGTCAAAACCAATGGTACCATTTTGGAGTAGGTGCACCACCCATTTTGGTCAATTTTAGTGTGGGTATGGGATGTTCACTGGGGGTACGATTTGGCTTTTGACCCATGGCCATGTATGTTTGTTTCTCACATCTAGTGTTCCACCTCGCCTTTCCCCCCTTCGGCCGAGTCCTTCCGAGGTATTGGTATGGAGATGTGACCAAGGACGAGCGGCAGGCCGCCATTCGCATGATCAAGCCTGGCGAGCAGCAGGCCAGCGCATGTTGAGGTGTCCCACCCATACAATTGCCGCGTGGTTAAGGCTTGCTGGATATTTTTCCCTCCTGGTTTTGCAGAATTCATGTTGATTCAGATTTATTTGTTTTTCCCCAACAGCTGAAAGCTTTGGGGTCTCAGCCCAGATAGGCTCCGGGGTGGTCCGGGGCGGCCCTGAGGTAAGGTTCCACGAGGGTTCCACCAGGGTTCAACCAGGGTTCCACCAGGGTTCCACGAGGTTCTGCAAGGGCTGCGGGGTGGTGCGAGCACGAAAAAGAGCACCGCATGCTGTTGGGGATATCACCTGAGCTTATTTTTTTTTAGCCGGTTGGTTTTACAGGGAATGTTTCAGACTTATGCGAAAGGTTTGGGGTTAGAAAGAGGGTAGCTGGGTAGCTTCCATTTGCTGAAGAATATGTCTTACTTTCCCCTTTCGGTTGAAGAATCTATGACTACTGGACATATGCCCAGTTGGCTTAAGCAAATGGAGGGTATGATTTGCAGCCAGATCGCGCAAGCTCGATTGCCGCAAGTCGCGGCGTGGGAAGGCAACGTCAGGAACTGCTTGGTTAGTTTCGTGGGGTACCTAGTACGTCCACAGGTATAGCCCCTTTAGAACAGCTATTGCAAAAGGCGGAATACGAAGAATGTATTTGTATGTAGAAAATTTATACACATCTATAGCCCCCCCTATTCTCCGTTGCAGAACCCTCATAGGAACCAGGTGTGAAAGATTATGAACGCCTTACCTATGCGTATGTATATACTGTTTGTATATGTATACAGATGTATGATATATGCGTATGTATATACGGTGTATGTTTATACCGGCATATGTGTATGTATATACTGCGTATATTTATACATATATGTGCGTATGTATGTACTGTGTATATGTATACATATACATGCATGCGTATGTATATACTGGGTATATACTGTGTATATGTATACATATACTTGCGTATGTACATACTGTGTATGTGTATACATATATACATATATATATATATATATATATATATGCGCATGTATATACTGTGTACATGTATACATACATACAAACATATATATATATATATGCACATGTGTATGTATATATATATATATGCACATGTGTATACTGTGTATGAGTATATATATGCATATTTGTTTGCACTTTGCCGAGTTTGCCAGGAGTCCATTACCTACGTGAACCGAGTGCTCGCCTTCATGTTTGCCACCGACGATTCTTTTGAAAAGCTCATGCAGCTACCCAAGGAGCCCGGGTGAAGCTTGCCGAAGTCAAACCCGTAGGGTCAGAGTACAGTTGCCAGACATTGGTTCGGCACTGACGTTCTTATGATTATTCACCTTGTTTTTGGTGGACCCCTCTTATACCAGATTTTGATTGTGACTCACTGAGCTTCACGGAAGTTGGTGGACGTATTTCAGAATCCAAGTTGATTCCAGGAACAAACCATAATCCCAACTTTGTGCTTGTTGATCCTGATCCTTTTCACCCGCTTTCCTCAGATAAGGTCGTACTCTTGACGTGGGTGCCGCACAAGCCACTGTTTGTAGAGGAGTTTGCTTCTCAACGCACCCCCTGTGTTCCTTCCGTCAGTTTGCCGGAGAGTAGGTTGGCAAAACAAAATGCGCAGAGAGGTTGGGCTTTGAGTACCCTGGGCATCCAGCACCCTGCCGATTCAAAGCGGTACTATCGCCCTACCCTGTCTTAGAAACAGGATAGTTTCCTCATGTGTCATTGACCCACAACCAAGAGTGACGCATGTCATGTAGACACCAGCTACTTGTATATGTATATATTCATATACACATGAATACCCGAATCACTCTGGCCATGTAACGCGAAAGGGCCATCGCTTTTTTTCCGGGCACTTGCGGCTCTTGGAGCCACACCTGCCCGCGAGGAGCCGTTCAGGATGACCTGTGGGGATCAGCTTTGCGTGCACTTGGCCCACATTTCGGTGGCAACTTGCTGAGCCTCCGCTAGATGCTGCAGAGCCCTGAGGGTCCCCAGGGGTAGTGGAATTGATGGGTCCACCTCTTGCAGTTGGGTGAAGAAAGGTGTGCACAAACTGTGTCAGGTCCCTTGTGGCTGGAGGGCGGCTAGATGAAGCCAGCCATGAGGCAGTTTCCAGTTGCAGCATGCTCCGCTGGAAGCCGTTGGTAGCTTCTTATGGGAGATGCATTGGGTTTGTTGCGGAGCCTGGCAGCTGCAAGCCTGTGGCGAGGCTCTTGACCTTTGCCCCCAGTAACTCGATGACGTTTGCCCAATCAGAGGCTTACACAGTCATCGGCTCGCCGAGCCATGTGGAAAGGCTTCAATGATCTCATTGCATTTGCAGGCCAGAACTGCCAGTAAAAGGAATTCTGGGAGACATGGTCGGCGTGCGACACAGTTTTGCGCCTCGCGCCCAAGAGTAAGATCGAAATGCACATCCAGGTCAAGTCTGACTGGGGTAAAAAAGAGAAATCGGGCGCACGCAAATGTGGGTGTTCGCGCGCCCGCGTTTGCATGTGTGTGTGTGTGTATGTTGCACTATGTCACTCTTTATATGTTTAAACCTTTCCATGTCGCTCTTGTATCTCTCTGGCATTCTCTCTCTCTCTCTGTGTCTCTGTATCTCTCTCTTTATTTTTGTGCGCAGCCTTTCTTGGTCCCTCTCTATGTGTCTGTCTCTGTGTCTCCGTGTCTTTGTCTCTGCGTTGGTGTCTCTATGTGTGTCTGTGTCTGTGTGTTTCTTTGTCTTGGTGTGGTGCTTTGTGTGTCTCTATGTGTGCTCCCTGTGTGTGTGTCTCTTTGCGTGTCTCGTGTGTCTCTACGTCTTTTTGTCTCTCTTTGTGTGCGTCTCCTTGTGTCTTCCTTTGTCTCTCAGGTCTTCCTATGCAAGGGTTCATCCGCGGATTCGTTTGAGCTTCTAGCTGCCTTTCTGCCATGTGTGCGTCTGTGTTTGCACGTCCCTCCGGCCTGCAATCATGGCGGTGTTTGTGGGCTTTATGTATCGGTTGGTCATTCTTTGATGGGGGCGCCACAATCTTGTCGGGAACAACCATGTGCTACTTGTACTGGCGGTTCCCCAGCTTATTGGATTGCCTGAAATGAATCAATTTCCTCAAAAGATGTAGTTCGGACACATACAGCGGCTCGTATGTGTGGACGGACAAAATCCTGCTCCAGTTGGTAGGGGCTTATCTTATCCCAGTACTAATTAGGATTTGTTCCATCCCAACTGTAGCGTCGACTGTAGGAGTTCGTCGGTCCGCAGTAGCTCTGTCTCTTTGAAAGTGGAGGCGATTGGAGGCGTTTTGGTTACTGCCTCAAGGATGCACCGCGTTTGGCTGTATCCCAGCTGCGAAAGGCCCGGATGGCAAGGGTTGTGTGTGGTTCCCACTTTTCCTGCGGCACCTTTTGTCCGAGCAAAGCAAACACCGCCAACAAAAAGGCGTATTTGTTTTACAGGAATGCATGATTACGGTCGACTCAAGTGTTCCACACCTGTGGATCCCTGACTGGCGATTTGGCAATTTCTTTGTCCAGTTCATGCCAGGGGCCACATCATGATTGACTACCGAACAGCTGCTTCGCGCGCTATGGAGAACAACCAATTCAAGGGCTTTAGTCACTACACGGCTAGTCAAGGCCAGCGGAAAACGGTGACCTACGTTGGTTGCTCCCAGCACCCTCAAAGTAGGGGGAGTAGCAAGGCCCCCAAACAACATCAAACAACCGTATGGCCGTATGTGTTCAGAAATATCCATTTGGGAATTGGACCCCTTTTCGTGTTTATTCCGTGTAATTAAGCAGGCCTGACAGTCACCTCGGCCTCGCTGAGGACCAGCTTGCGGGCTTCGGTCTCAGCTCCCTTGCTCAAAACCCCGCAGCCGATGATTCTACTTGGCTTTGGTGTGGTTCGGGGAAATGTCTGTACAGCCATGTAAGAAACACGAGTCGATGGTTTCAGGACGCTGCTGTGCTTGTTGACCGGGTGCTAAATAGCCTAGATACTTTTCTCATTCGCCCAACAAGAGCCCAACAGGGGGATGGGCAATGTTTGTGCGTCTCAGACCCCTGGTTTCACATCCAGCTGAACAATGCGAATGAGTGAGTTACTTGTTGGGCCCGCTTTCAAGAAAATTTGCGCGAGCCGCTCCCGTGAGACGCGTTCATGCGCGCTCAGTAATGGTAGCTTGGAATGGTTGAGGCGGCAACTGTGAAGTTACTGCACAATCGCAGCGTAGTTTTGGGGAGCTAGAGGGAGGTTCTTTTTGGTACACATCCATTACAATTTAAGTTGCCTTGTTTACATGTGGTTGGTTTCCTGTTGTGCGCTATCGGGGCATGGATCAATGCCTCACTTTGCCGCAGCCAAACAAAAACGATCAGACGCCGAGAGGACGCCGATTTGGGCCGAAGCAAGGCGTGCCTTCCTGCGGCTCGGCGATGCTCCTGCCTCAGCCCGGAGGTTTTTCCGAGGCTTCGCCGCCCAGAGCTCCAGGAGGGGGGCATTTCCTGGTGCAGTTTGCGCTTCTTCTTTTTTCCTCTGGAGGGGCGGCCCCCAATTGAAGCGACCAAAGGCGGCTTTGGTTCCTTGGGGTTGGAGATTTCAGGTCGACGGCCAAGAGCAACTGGTGGCTGGAGTTAGATATTTCCCACCAGGGGCGCGCGCGAAGAAACGAATGATTCCGGCCGTGGCTACGTGTGCTGACTGCAGATGTTGCTGGCCAGCCCTTCCAAGCCACACTTGATCTGAGCTTTCGGCATTAGGGGCGATCCAGGTTCGAACCAAGTATGAGAAACCTCCATGATCTAATTGGAGGGGAGTGTTGAAGTATGTTGAAGTGGATATAGTAGCTGGCCGAGCTCCAAACAGCCTTCATCCCACCTGTGCAGGGATCAAACTGACAAAGTGTCCATCTTGAGTCAAGCAGGTCTAAGCAGTTTCTTCCCGATTCTACGGTACCTTCCATCTTCCAGCAGCAAAGCCACGTGCAGTACCCACGTCTTGTCTGAGCAAGTTGTGCTGAGCACGTCCGGGTCGCAGTCTCCGCTGAGGGCGCAGTGGCGGCTTCCAGTGCACCTGCGGCCAGTAGTGCGGGGGTGCCCGGCTGGCCCGGCTAGTCGGTTTTGGGTCCAGTCTGGTGGCCAGGGGTTTGATGGAACGCCACCGTTTCAAGCTCACTCAGTGTCGTTGGTCTTCTGGTTTGTTTTTGTGATTGGTGGCGATTGTGCTGTCAGTCTTCGTTGCAGGACGTTCTTCTTTTGGCCAGTCAACTCGGATGGTTAGGTTTTGTGTTGTTATGACTTTTAACCCTAGCGGGTCACTCCCCTGCTTTGAGAAGCGAGACGCTTCGGAAGAAGCTTTGCCGATAGCCATTGTCAAACAGGCACAATTTTCCCGCATTGGTGCTATCTAAACTGCACCGTTTCAATTTCAACAAAGGCCTCTTACCTGTGCGGAAAGTGCTCTTCCTCCACTAACGTAGCACCTCAAAGAGTCTAAGAGGGTACCTGCAAGATCAATTCTACCTTGAAGCAAGTATGTTTTTGTCAAATGCCTTGGCAACTTGGGAGTACAGTAATTGAGTGGGAATCATTGTAGCCGTCACCACGTCATCAATGTTGAATGCCGATGCCCACTGGGCATGGCAGCGTCTTGTAGGTCTTGAGTCGCGCCCCCTTGAGACGCCCAAGCCACTCTTCCCAGGGTTCGTGCGATATGCGGCCGCGATAGTTGGGCACATGATCACACATGATCCAATTAAATTTAATCATGCCCTGAGTGTAGTCGCTTAGGCGCCCCCGACAAATGGAAACTTGCCTTGGCCTGGGCAAGCAATTCAAGTTTTTGCGGGGGGGTTAAAATTAAAGCCCAACTCATCATACAGGATCCCCTTTTTCTGGCTCCTCCATATGGGCCGTTCCTCCACATTTTCGGGGTTGCGGGTGGTCGCGCAGGCGCGATCGGCTGCTTCACGCCCAGGCGCGTTACCAGCGCTCGGAACACGAGCTGTGGATAAGCCGTGGTCCATGAAAACATGTGCAGGGGTATAAACCTCCATTTTTCTTAAGAATATGTTTATTTTCCCTTGTTGGTTTTAAAAAGGAATTTATCGCTACTGGAACCAAACGGAAGTAGAGGGGAATGTATCTTCAGAATGTCACTTGAACGCTCAAGACTTTCGTTTTGCAACCGGTTGATTTCACCCAATCGGTTGCTTCCTTGCGGGTCCGTTTGCTCATCCACATCGGATGTAAGCGGCCGTTTGGCTTTCTTTGCGCCATGTGCAGTCAGGCATTCCAACCCTGAGTTGATGATTTAGACTGGTATTCTGGGCCAGTTCCTTTAGACACTACAATGGGCAGGTACCCCCTAACCGTAACCACCAAACCAGACCACCAATTGCGGGTAAGGTGGTGTATGGTCTTGTTCAAAATATGTGTTGAAATGTTTATAGACCATGGTCACAGTCTGGGTGCGGGGTGGGGGGAGCAGCCAGATCGCTTGGACAACTGGCTGCACGGGCTCCGACTGCGAATCCATTTGCCAACTTTGGCTGGATTTTGGATGCTCGCAACCTGTGACACAGCTGCTCAGGCCCACCCTGCTTTCTCTTATTGAATGGTTGGGGGCTGCCTTAAAGTCAACCAAACAGCACCACACGTGTCCTTTTCCTCATCCAAAGCGAAACCGGGACATTTTCGGAGAACACCTACCAAGCGGGGCTGAACATGGCTTAAGTTTTGAACCCCAATCAGCAGTCCCCGGATTTTTCTCAGCTTGGTGAAATCATTTAGGGTGCAAAATTAGCTTTAAAGCGGTCCATTGTTGTATTGCTTTTTGATGTATTTGTTGCTTGTTAGTGTTAGCAGCTTGTTGGAAATCCACATGGGTCGTAGCGGTCTGATTTGGATTTATCCAAAACATGGATGGGCCAGGGCAACAGCTCTGCGCTTGCAGCATGAGCTCGGGACAGCTGGAATCGGTGCTTGTGAAACTAAATGGCTTTTTGTTGATTCATGTTCTGTTGCAGAGCAAGCAGGCAACCAACCACGTGAGTCAGTCCCAAGTTTTGACACATACGCAGGTCAGAATGACTCGATATGTTTCCTTCGCAAGAATTGGTTTTGGCAGAGAGGAGTGCCTTGCCATGTCAGGTCGAGAGACGAGGCCGTGAGATATGGGCGAGAGAATCAGAGATGCCAAAGCAAAAAAGATGACAAAGAGCTTGTATAACGAAGGAAGCTGCAACTGCCCTTGTTTCGATGAGTCTGACCGCTTGCTTGAGGGCCCTTCATTCCAAACTGTTCCATTTCGGCCTTCCG